AGTTTAAAAGAGAGAAATTCTCACTATGTATAACAGAAAGTTAATAGATAGTGCTCTAAATTGATCAATCAATACATAGCAGCTTAGAATATTATTTAGAAATACATACATAAATACCAGAAGAAACTATAAGGTAGATCTGTCTAGAGAGAGAAAATGGGGATAGAGAAGAAAGCATGAACTTCCGTTTTTCTGTTGCTGTTTTGTTTTATAATACTACTTTACTTTTTAAATTATGTGCATATATCACTTTATGAAACTAAAATTTGCTTTAAAAAAAGTTAATAGCAGATACCATATTTTTCATCCCAATGCTTTGAGTGAGGTAATAGGGACAGATGGCATCTTCAAATCATCATGAATATTCATACTGCTTACTACTCTATGATGTAAGTTGGTCTTGAGCACATTATAATAAAGAATCCAGCCCTGACTGGTGTGGCTCAGTGGATTAAATGATGGCCTGTGAACCAAAGGGTCGCTGGTTCAATTCCCAGTCAAGGCACATGCCTGGGTTGCAGGCCAGGTCCCCTGTAGGAAGTGTGGGAGAGGCAACCACACATTGATGTTTCTCTCCTTTTCTTTCTCCCTCTCTTCCCCACTCTCTAAGTATAAATAAATAAAATATTTTTTTAAAAAAGAACCCAGTGTTTTTTCCCTATCATCTGGAATAATTGACATAAGAGCCATTTAACATCCATTAAAGTTAAGAAGCAGAAGCAAGAAAACCAGTCAGCAGCATCCAAGGAACTATAACATACTTAATAACATACTTAGTTCTTCAAATCATTTCTTGAGTAGTGGTATCTATCAGGTATCCAGAGACTAGGCCATATAGTGGTAGTAACTATCACTGGTAAGTCACTAGCACCAGTATGAATTCAATTTTCCACTAATATCACTAAGAAATCAGAATGGGTTGTAAATAAGCTATGCATTCCTAAAAAATAAAGCCCCAAGGAGGTTCTGTGAAATGAATTAAAAATGGAGAAGAATTTTAGTTAATAAATAATAAAACATTGAACATTTAACTTGGGAAAACAAGTACTAGGACAAATTGTGTTAAACACTGCTACATACAACATTTACACAAAAATGAACAGAGATATTTTACAATGCGAACATTTTGAACCCATGACACTTGGAGGAATCATGGGAGAAGTGACAGTCATCCCCTGACGTTCCAGGTTTGTGGATGTTGTCTCTATGGCTCAGTTCTGCCACAGCCAAGCAGTAAGAATCAAGTCAGGACCAGTAATTATGGCTGTAATAGCTGCTAAGACCCTGGTGCAGCTCCTTCTACATTCCCCTACAGTGAAGGGTGTCACTACATTTTAATTAACATTAACACAGTTGTTTCAGAGGACTTGCAACAGTAAATAATGACATTTACAAAGAAAAGTGAATTAACAAAGGATTAAGACAGAAGAAATGTGCAAGGCATAATGGTAACAGCAGGAAATGCATCTGAAAATTTGCCCTCATTTCCATAAATAAGCTATCCTAATGTTTTCTGTTAAAATGAGGAATTTACCTAAAAGGATAATAGAAAAGAAAGGAGAAAAGTACTAGGATAGATTTTAATTGAGTGAAAGTCAAATGGAAGAAATGAAACTTAAGAATTGCCTTATTCTTAGTTACATTCATAATATAGTATATACATTTTAAATGTATATGAAGACAAAGATCCCTACTGTCTTCTTAACCTAGGGTACAGACTTCAAGATACTTAATTGAAAGGAAATAAAATTCTTCTCATTTCCTGGACCAAATACAATCTCTCAAACTAGTTAAAAAGAATTTCAGATAAGAAAATAACTTTCCAAAGGAAACAGAAAGATGTCTTGTGTTCTGTCAGAGAGGATATGCTATCAAGAATGAAAGGAAGAAAGAACTTGCTAAATCTTTTCAAACAAATACGGACAGTACTGTTTGGTCTCAGGATGAACTCTGAAAAATAAATTGCTTGTATGCATGATGAAGGAGATAACCCCAAATATTGCCAGTTCACGTGTTCCAAAGAGGAAAAAAGTCTTATTTCAATGTAGTGTTCATGCCTTCATTTTCTACATTTTAAGAACAAGGAGTTGGAAAAAGCCCAGACACATGCAAAAATAACAATGAAGAAGCAGAAAATAAGAAATTAAATTGCAATGCTGTGGACAAAATACCATGGACAAAATTGCAATGCTGTGGACAAAATTTTCCCTCAAGTTAAGAAATTTGAGGGGAAAAAAAAGAAATGGTTTAGGCCTGAAGGAAAAAAATCTTTAGTGGTCATAATTTTCATCTTCATTTCTAAAGAAAAATGAACCAGGCCAATAGTTGGAAAATTTCACTTATGAACAGGTAAGACATTTAAAATGTCCTGAAAGAAAACAAAAAGCTATGAAAACAGTCAGCTAAGGAGAGGTTGTGAAATGGTCGGAACCCAATGGTTTTCAGTATGCAACAGATCCTTCAACTCCCGGCTATAGTCTATTCACCCATCTTCCCACGGCACTTTCTTCCCACAACTTTCTTCCACATTTTTCAGTGGACTATAAGTTTTAAAGCTGGCATGTTAGTATAAAAATTGCTATCTCTTAGTTATTAATTAGGAACTACTATGATTCTGTCTCTAGATTTCTAGTTTTAAAAGACTTTTAAATTTTGGCATACTGGAACATACAACCTATTGGCATAATATATGGCCTAATTAGAAATTCTGCTGGCAAAGGAATTATAGCCCAAATTCATCACTATATATTTGGAGAATTACATAGAATTCTAACTATGAAGGACAGTTTTCAAAGTATGGGGCTTAGCTAGAACTAAGGGAAAAAAAATCCTGCCCTGACCAGGTGGCTCAGTTGGTTGGAACATCTATCCTGTACACCAAAAGGTTGAACATTCAATCCCTGATCAGGGCATACACTTAGGTTGCAGGTTTGATCTCCAGTTGGGGCACAAATGGGAGGCAACCAATGGATGTTTCTCTCTCACATTGATATATCTCTTTCTGCCCACCCCTCTCCTCCTTTCTCTCTAAAATCAATGAACTATCCGTGGTTGAGGATTTAAAAAAATAAAAATTTAAAAATCCCCATTTCAACACCCCTCTTGATCCTTTAGCTAAGGGAAGGCAAAGCAAACCATAGGTAATGATGGTTAATGATAAGTAATAGTTGAATAACCATAATGTAGCAGGTAGTTTACACATGTAGGTGTAGTTATCTCCATTTATACCTTTTTATTTATTAAATAAAAATTATTTTTCTATTTTACAGATGAGGAAACTGAGACTCAGAAGCACTCACTTGTCCAAAGTCCCTAAGTTCGTTAAGTGGTAGAACAAGAACTTCAATATAGGCCTATCTGAAAGCCTACACCTTTGTTACCTTAGTGGTTCACAAGTTTGAAAACACTAGGGATCTAATTTCTATTTCTCAAGAATGTGTAATGCTTTCCACCGTTACTGTGGTTTTAATTTATAGGAACTCAATTTTGATTCAAGAGACAAACTGCTGAAGTTCCTATGTTTATTAGCTTTGTAATCTCCAGGTTTACAGTTCTACCATTGCCTTTTGAAACCTAATTGCTTTATAAAACGTTCACTTGCTTTTGTCACTTTTTCCCTAACATCATTAATCAAATTTAATTTTGAAATATCCATATTTTATGTGAGGACTCCCAGGACTACATGATCTCCTTTTCCTTTGCAGATTTATTACTACTTAGGTAATTTCATTAAGGGCAGCTTGAAATTTTTATAATATTTTCAAAGGTCACTGATAATGGCTTAACAATCCCAATAGTACTTCCGAGATCTGTACTGGAAGCTATCACAGATGTTAAAATCAAATAGTTTTACCAAATATTATTTGGTATAGGATGAACGTTAAGTTTAATACATGGTAACTTTTTATTAAAATTGAATGATTAGTAAACCATGGTTAAAGTTTATACAATAATCGCTTAAGTGGGTTAGGTGCTTCGTCTATAATTCACTGCTGTGGGTAGTATTTATATCTCCGTATTCCAGAATTTCGTTTTACAATAGTTTAGTATTTAATTTACTGAACAAAGGGGTTCATCTTAGGTAACTTTTAATATCCTGAGACATACAATTTTTTTAAAACTTGAGGTTTACTTCTAAGGATTAAACCAGATGTTATTTTCCTTTGTGACATTCCAAAATGGGTTCAATCATTCTGGATTAAAAAAAAACAAACAAGGTCTTTGGGGTTTAAGAAAAACAAAAAGATGAAATGAGACAAAGGAATATTTTCCAATTCACAAGACGGGGGGAAAAGTGTTCAAGACTCTTAAAAGAGCGTGAGTTGAAATGTTACCAATACATTTATCCTAAGTAAAACGCGGTAGAAATATTTTCTAAGTGCGTTTGGTTTTTTTAACAACCAGCGGCAGCTCTCTCTTTCACAATACTGGGTGAGGCCTGTTCGTTCCTGCGCGCCCTGTATTGCAGTCCCGATGAAGTTTAGGAAACCCAGACACCTGCGGCTCTCCGTCCGAAACCCGCAAGGAGAACAGGGTAGCGTATCGCTGCACCCCAGTGTTCCAGCTCCGGATTCCGGGCCTTTTTGCACTGCGCTGTGAACGTCCGGCTCCAGAAATCCGCGCTCCAGAAATAAGAGCCATTCCAGGAAGGGGTCCCTGAGTACGCACCGACGCTTCGCAAAGGTGTACGAGTGTAAAATAGGGGGCAGCGACTCCGCGGCAGAGACGAAACTCTTCTTTCTAGGTAGCAGCCGCTGTATCGGAGCACCCAACGGACCACATCACAAGAGCGCCCCGCGCCCGGGACTGCGGTGCCCCATCAGACCGGGCACCCCACGCCTCCGCCGGGAGGGGGCGTGGCCTCGGGCCGGCGCGGGTGAGACCGGCCGCTCCAAGAGTAGTTCCCCCGGAGCCGGCAGCCGCGCGTTTCGTTTCCGGCGCGCTCCCCCGCCTTCGGAGTCCTGTGGTTTCGCCCGCCCTCGCTGCCATGTTGGATTGTTCTACCGCCGCCGCCGCCGTAGCCGCCAAAGCCGCTGCGGCCGCGGAAGAAGGGGTGGAGGAGGAGTTGGGAGTTTAGCGCAGTCGCCGCAGTGCAAGGACAACGGCCATCCGGCCAGAACTCAGCCCAGCGCGGCCGCCGTCAGCTCCTCCTTTTCCCTCCCCCCCGGCGGCGGAGGAGTTGCGAGATGCTGAGCCTGTGACTCCCCTCCTCCCGTCCCTGTCACCGAGAACGGGAACGAACGCTCGCCCACTCGCCGGAGGAGACGGCCCTGGACTCGCAGCCCCGTCGGCGTAACCATGAGCTCCGGCCAGCAGCCGCCGCCGCGGAGGGTCACCAACGTGGGCTCCTTGTTGCTCACACCGCAGGAGAATGAGTCCCTCTTCACTTTCCTCGGCAAGAAATGTGTGGTCAGTGGCCGAGACCCGCGTCGTCCCCGCGATGTTACCTCCCTGGCCGGGGCTTGAGGGCCAGGAGCTGGGAGTGGGGAAGGAGGCGAGAGTGGTGTGGGAGGGTCCGACTGCCGGCCAGGCCTACCCCCGGCCCGGTGTCGGCTCCATGGCCCCACTCCCTAGGTGCGGGCCGCGGCGGCTGGACTCTGCCTCCCAGAGCAGCCTGGGACCAGGGAAGTGTCACCTCCGCTGGCCTGTCCTGGATCCCAGCTTGGCCGAGTCCTCACCCTTGCTGCTGCTTCAAACTTTACTCTCAGGCCCCAACGCGAATTTCTTCTTGCAAGAGCTGCTGGGTCTTAGTAACCTGGCTCCTGCCCTAGCCATCTTTTCGTCTCTTACCGCTTGATCTGGGGGTACCTTTCTTCACAATGCCAGAGGTTTGAGGAGGGTAGGTAGGGATTGGAGCCCAAATATGAATGAAACGGACCATGAAGTGGGTTTTAATCTCCTTTTAGAATTTCGGGAGGGAATAAAGTGCATCGGTTCAGGACTGGGGCAGGAAATGCTACTGCTCCCCATTGCAGAGAGACAGGGTTTATTTCTCCAGGAATCTCCCCGAGGCCTGGTTTCTACTCTCCCTCCAGCTGATTTTTTTTTCTTTCTTTTCCTTTTTCTGTTTTCTTTTTTGCATTGGTGGGAGGAGGTGCTCCTTTCCCCACCATGCTCAGGGGAACCGCAATTTATAATAGTTTTTGGTCTTTTGGGCCCTGCAAATGATTCTTAAGTTTGTGTTGTGCGGCCTGTTCCGACCTCAGATGGCTGGTTGGGAGCAAGTAGTTCTGTGGAAAGGGGAATGTGTGTTGTTGACGGAAGCATTCATTACATTGGCTGCTGGCACTTCGGGGGTGGGGAGGTTCTACTCCTTGGTGTAGGCCTTGTCAAGCTGCATCTTACTGCGGTGGCCTGGTTGATCTGTGGTTGCGTTTGCTGAAACGCTGTTTGATTCCCTCTCTCTCCTCTCTGCTTGTTAGCACCTGCCGAGTATGTGCCACTGGAACCCAAGAGACACCGACAGAAATGTCAACAGAGCAGTTTTACAACTTTGCATAGTAGTGTTAAATATGCCAAAACAGGGACATCTGCTTAAGAAGTTAGGATTAGACAATTTCTGGAAAGTTACCGGATTGTTAACTTTATAAGAGCCTACCCTTTGTTTCCTGCCCCATGCAGTTGGAGATTGAAATCAGTACATTCAATTCAGATGTGTTTCATATTTCAGAAGTTATCCCTCAAAGAACATACCTTGAGTTTACTGATTAGAAGAATGAAATAAGAGGTATGGCTTAAGATCTGAATTTTTTTGAAACAACTTTAGAGATAATGAAGTCCCACCACCCTACCCCAGCTTTTTAAACAAATGAGAAAACTGAGCCAGGGAGCCTAAGTCACACAGCAATTTAGTAAGGTAACCAGAACTAGAAAACCAGGACTCCTGATGCCTAGTCGGTTGTACTTTCCACTACATCATGTTGTTTTTAGAAGGGTTTTTTCTTTCTTGTTATTGATTTATTCCCCAGAGTAGAGTTAAAAGAGTAATCGCTTTTGTTTAACCCAAAATGAATATAAAGTGTAGGATTTTTAAAGCAGCACTAATTTTTTCATATTTTTCAATTTAGGAAATTTTCTGTCACTTTAAATGTTAAATTATTTGCAAATGAAGAATAATTAAAATATTGCTGGTTTGTTACTATTGCTGTCAGAAAGGAAGTAGTTATATGTGCTATGTTTTTTACATACCAGATAGATACATTAGCTTTATGCAAGAAGGACATTACAAGTATAATGACTAATTGCTCTGTCTTACCTATAAGGTTAGCTGGTTTCAATAAATGACATGTGGAAGAATACTGTGATAAAGATAGTGTTGCTTACTGGTTAGTGTAAGTGGATTGCCAAATAAGCTGTCCATATTCAGTGCTCAATTTCTTTATGTCATCTATTATTAATCAGCTTTACCTTTTGAATTTCTGTCATTTAAAACTACACTGTTGTAGTTACCTGCTCTTCTGGTATGAAATTATTGCAGAGATTAACTTTAAATTCGACATCTCCAGTTATTAGAGAGTAAAGTAGGATTATTTTAATTTTTGGAACATTTTTTCCCTTTGCTAGCTATGCAGGTTTTTTTGTAGTTTAAGATATTACTGAAATACATTGTTTCATTTTTAAAAATTTAGCATAAGATTTACAGGTCAGCCCGAATTTGTTAAGCAAGTGTATTCAGAGGAATAGTTACAGTGCCAGTGTTCAGGCTTTCCATCCTTTTACTCAACAAATATGTGTTGAGTAACTAAATTTTGAAATCAAAAACAGGGTTGATGCCTGTCCTCAAGAAGCTTTCTGTGTAAAAATGGGAAACAAATGTGTAAACTGATGAGTTAGTCAGTGCTTCAGAGTAATGTGTAAGAAAGAGGCTGCATATCACAACGGAAAATGTCTTTGTAGTTGGCAGAGCTTGGTTCAGACTCATACTGTCACTTCGAACAAGTTTCTTAAGCTCTCTGTCCTAAAATTGCTTTTCTCATCTCTGAAATAGGGATACTGTTTTATGTGGGTGGGGGTGTAGATTAGAAGGACTGTATGTAAATATATGTGCTATTATTTTTATAAAGATTTGGGGGACTACAAGAGTTTGAGTAAAAGCTTTTTAGAATGGGCTGCACCTGGATATTTAAGATTAGTAGGTATTCCACCACCCCCCCCCCCTTGGGTTGATGGGATGTATGAAATAGCTTGGAGAGTCAGGGGACCTACTAATACTGTAGTATGTTGTGGAGCAGGGAGGGTTTCTTCTTGGGTTCTCAAATTTAGGTATGCATTGGAATTATTTGTAGATTATATTAACATGCATATAGCTAGGCTGAATTCCTAGATAATCAAATTTAGTGGGTCTGATATGGAACTTAGTCATTTCTATTTGTGGCAGGCTTAACAGAAGACTGTAATATGTATCACAGTTTGAGAACCCCTGCTGAGGTCCACTGGTTTTTGATAGCGTAATCTTAAAGTACACGGAAATGTTAATAGGTTTTCCCTCAGTCTTTGTTCTGTATTTTGGGACTTAAGGTTAAAACAAGTTCTTTTAGTGTAGCATTTCTCTAACCCCTTGAGATACCAAGGTGTGTTTCATAGATGTAAGAGAGATACAGTTCAAGTATTGCAGTAGTTAATGAGGAACCACAAGATAAAGATCTGACTTTCAGAAAGTTTGGGGAGAAAGGTGAAGGCATGAGAGAAGGTGGATTGAGGATTGTGAGTGCAGACAAAGGAGGTCAGATTACGTGTTTACAGTAGTCTGTGTGAACTATGATGAGGGTCTGAATTAAGGGAGTGCTGCTGGGAATTCAAAGAAAATTACAAGGACTCCAGTAGGATTTCTTCTCCCTTAGATAAAGAAAGATAAAGAATAAAGGCAAGTGTAGCCACCAGAAGTATTATGAACTCTTTCACTAGATGAAAATATGCCTAGGTGGTATTTGAGACTTTATTGGTGATTGGTTTCATGGAGAAATGGAATCTTCAGTGAATCTATTGTTTTGTCACAGTTTTTAAAAGTAGATTTTGTGAAAGTTGAGGTTTCATTCAAAGTTATATGTAATATATTCAATATGTATTATTTTTTACACTTTTTTTTTAGATTTTATTTATTTATCTTTAGAGGGGAAGGAGAGAGGGAGAGAAACATCAATGTGTGGTTGCCTCTCGTGGGTCCCCTGCTGGGAACTGGCCTGCAGGGAACCAGCCTGCAACCTAGCCTTGTGCCCTGACTGGGAATCGAACCGAGATCCTCTGGTTCATAAACTCGCACTCAATTCACTGAGCTACACCAGCCAGGATTTATTCAATATGTATTATGTACTTTTACATAAAGTAAGTTCATTAGCTGGTATTATTTTCTGAGAACAATTAGGAAGAGTTAAATAACAAGATTATCAGTTCTTGTTTTTGTAGTTTTGTTGCCTTTCATGTAGTGTGATTTAATTTATTTTCTATAAAGAACATGTGCTGTTTTGCCAAGTAGAGTTTAATATATAGTCCTGAATAGGAAATTAGGTAAGGATTGGGAAAAATAAAATCTTATACTAGCCCTCTCTAACTGTCTCTGGTTTAGCAGTGTTGTTGACTGTTACCTTTCCCTGCCATCTCACATGGTTGGTTTGTTACCAGATTTAGTGATACCATTTTTATTAACTGACTTTAATCATCATTTTCTTAAATTCCTCAGTACTTGTTTTAACTGGCTTACATTCTTCAGGTATTTTTTTGTTTTCTTGTCTTTTATATAGTTCTGGGAGATAAGGATCTTATGCCTATTTGGTCTTCCATGTAATTTTTATATCATCTAGCTACAGATTACTGAATACTTACTGAGTTTTAATTGCTAGCTTGTTTATTACTCAGGAACTCATTCAGCATTTCTCAGTGCTCAATCAGGTTGTTAAAACCTTCCATTTCTAATGCAAATGGTATTTGGAAATAAGTCTTCATTTATTAGGAGAACAAAATGGTTTAATGCTGCTGCTGATATAGGTGATAACAGTAACTGTCCAATAGTTACTTGTTTCTGTTCTAAATCCTTACATAGGCCTAACGGGAAGAGTTGCTTAGAGGGATCATAGTGTTGAATTAAGGCAGTTAGGGCTAGGAATGTATTTCACTTTGAGTAATGTGAAAGGAAAAAGGTTAAAAACCCATGGGATTTGGAATATTCAAAGATGAGAAAACAGTCTTGCCCAGTATGGAGGAAAAAAGTGAGCACAAAACTGTCATACAGGGTAGACTATGATGTAAGCATGGGAGAGTCAGAAAAATCCAGCAGATCTGGGTTATATATCCTGTTTCTTATTGTTCTTAGCTCTATAACAGTGATTTTCAACCATTTTCATCTCATGATACACAAAAATTAATGATTAAAATTCTGTAGCATACCCAGTAATTTTTTTTTGTCAATATGAAGC